CTTATTTCCACCCAGCCCACAGTATTTGGCTTGGAAGGTGGCCACAGGGACTAGAGGTGAAAGTGTAGTGAATGAAGGTTTGCAGGCAGGATCTCAGGGAAGATGGCCAACTCCGAGGACTGGGGACCTGGGCTGCCGGGAAGGGAGGAGGGCTGGGACTTAACGGGAACAGGGCAAGCACATGAGGCCGGGGTGAAGCTGCTGAGTGGTGAGAGGGAGGTGGGGGCTAAGACTATGTGGAGCCCCTGGGGTCTGTCAGAGTAGATGTCTTTGTGGATGGAGTTCCATTCCTGCACCTGAAGAGCTGCAAAGAGTATCAATGGATAACTTCTCAAAGACCTAGGAAGTGCATAATGATCAAAGAAAAGAAGAAAATGATAAAGGAATGCTTATTCTTATACACAATCGAGATGTAAGTACTTGTGGCATGGTGGACAGAGGATCAGACCTGGAGTCCTATAGACCTGGTTTGAATCTTGGCTTTACTAGAAACAACATTGCCTCAGCTTCACTATCAGGAAAATGGAGATGATTCCATTATTCTGTGGTCAGGAGGATCAATTACTTCAACATATTTTATTTGAGCCCTAATTAATTCATAGGGCAGATGCTGATAGAAAGAACTTCCAACAACTAGCAGCCATCATTAAAATGCAAAGCACATAACAGCAGCACATGTAAATGTTGGGAACCGTACAACAATGCTTACTGGGATTCCCATTTCTTTCATCTGCTGCTTCCACTAGATTGTAAGCTACACATGCATATGGTCTGATCTAGCATGTTCACAAAGTCGGACACAGAGTAGGAGCTCAACACATATTGGTTTCAAAGAGTGACTGGCTGAATACATAATTTACTATCCAATTGTTAGATGCCTGGGTCAGGAAAGAAAAGACTGGAAGGCTGAGAGGTCAAGTCTGGCCCAAACTACCTTCTGTTCTTCCCCTCTCTCCAAGCACTGCCTGGGCACATGCACACAGTCCTAGCCAATTCCCAGAATCCACAGCAGCTATATTTGGTTGTGTTTAATTTTATGTTCTGTCTTAGAGTGAAAGTTCATGGGTAAAACATTCTGTAGCTGACTATTCTCTGGTGCTTTTATTCTAGAAAGTACCACAATGCTCACATGCTGCATTTAATTAGGCTTATACCTCTTTTAGCCTTCCTAAGTTGAAACAAAAACAAAAATTATCAATGGGAAAATGAGAAAGCCCATGGAGATTTTGAAATCTCCTTAACTTTGACTTAACTAACGAACATAGGAACATCGAATGAGACTCCATCCCATTTGGGAGGGAAGTGGAAAAGGAGTCATTTCAAATCTGCCTCACATGCTTATAACTCATTGTAAGATGAAAAATTATTCTCAATATCTATCTATCTATCTATCTATCTATCTATCTATCTATCTATCTATCTATCTATCTATCTATAAATCATAGAGCTTAAAAGATTGGATATAGGCTTGAGTCCTAGATCCACTTCTTATTAACCTTGTGGCCGTGGACAAGTTACTTAACTTTTCTAAGTCTCAGCTTCTTTTCTTGAGTAAAATAAAACACAATTCACAGGGTTATAGGACTACTATACATAAGATCATGCATAAAAAACTCCTACCACTGTCTTTGGCTCATTGCAATCTCTTAATAAATGATAATTGATGTTTAATATTGTTGTTATTCTATACTTTAAATTATATAATTTATGCAATAAATATAAAATACTATATTCTACAGTGTAATTTATATAGTTCCTATCTAGCCTCAGGATTTCTCAACCTTGGCCATTGTTGACAGTTGGGCTGGAAAATTCTGGGGTTGTTCTTTGCATCTGGGGATGTTTAGCAGCATCCCTGGCCTCTGTCCAATAGATGGCAACCCCACTCCGTTGTGACAATCGGAGTATCTCCAGACATTGCCAACTGTCCCCTGGCAGGCAAACATCCCCTGGGTGAGAATCACTGGTATGGAAGAAAGAGCTGTGCATGGCCCTAGAGATAAGAGGCCTACTTTCCATGAGTTAATTTGTGATCATGGGTCAGTCCTACAACTTCCCTGGCCTTTGGTTTTCCTGCAAAGATAAAATAGGGATTGTAAACAGGGCAGATAATCCCTACTATATCTTTCATGGTGTTTGTAATGATGAAATAAGGAAAAAAATTCAAATGCTCTAAAGAAGTGTTATACAGTAGGGCTGTCTTATGATTATTTTGTTAGAGGTTGGTGACTGAGGGACAATTACAACAGCCGGTGCTGACCTGCTCACTTCTTTAATTCTCATCCTGGGGGCCCCAGCCTCCCTGTCCTTTTAATGGATGTATCTGTGGCTTGGCCTGAAGAGTTCTAGAGGAACTGTTTTCTTTCCAAATGAAATAAAAATGCTCTTTTTTTAAAAAAAAAAACAAATTATTTTTATAAGTGGTGAAAACTGCCTTGTCATCTCCAGATTTAACTTTCATCTAAATTTATCTCTCAGATGACTAGAATTAACAAGTCCTCTGGATTTTAACTGTGTTCTCTGCAGATTGATTCTCAGAAAGATATATTCTGAAAGTCTCCAATATCACTGCACTGATTAATACTTTAATAATACACTGAGTAATACTGTGATATATTTCTTTATCAGCAAGGGACCATTTTTCTCATGTCATATTATATTATGGGAATCGATATATTGGAATCCAGAGGTTGAGTCTATTGTCTTTATTCTTGAAAAATCTTTAAATGAGAGATAGTAGAGTGTCTGGGAAAAGAGCAGAAGCTTTGAGTTTGGTTAGAGCTTATGTGAACAGATAATGGTTCAAAGTCCAACCCCATCAGTTGTGTGATTTAGACAACTCCTTTAGCCCTCCGGAACCTCAGTGGAATACGGTAATAAACCCACTGCCCAGTATGGTTCTGAGTTTTAAATGGAGGTGAATATATAAAGCAAGGAGCATATTGTATGCCCATGGTAGGTATTTTGTGAATGCAGGTGATCTTTCTCTCTGTGTCCACATTCTGAAAGACTGTACAAGGATTTCTTTCATCCCTCAGAGCAAGTGTTTGGTCTGACTGCTTCAGGAAGGCCATTGAAATTAAAACCAATACTTCTTCAGGATACTTTAGAGTCTTGACTTAAATTAATGGTATTAAAGCTTGAATTACATTATCAACAAATCTTCCAGTTTATGAGCAAATCCCCTCCATATTTCTGATGGATATTAGTTGGAAATTAAGGGTCTGAAGTCACTTAAAGCACGACTGCATTCACCCAGTATGTAATGAACAATGTGTTACTTCTTTAAAATAACTCATTGTTTCTCTTTAAGGACAAACATCAGCATCCTGAGGCAGCACAGCCCCGAGTGGCAAGATGATGAGCGTGAAGTCAGACAGACCTGCCGTTAACTAGCTGTGTGATTCTGAGGCTCTCTGAGCCTCAGCTTCTTCAGCAGCAAGGGTGAGGGTGAGCGGAAATAAAGCCTATAGAAGCCTCAAGCACCATGTCTGGCACAAGGGGAAGGCTCAGTAAGTGCTGCCTGTGTCCTTGTCTCTCTTGCAGATCTTTATACTTTACTGGTTTAGGAGAAGGGATGGGGTAACTAAGTAATCATCAGCCTATATTTTATTGTTATTCTTTTCCTGTTGAATATAGCATGCAAGGTAAGTCATAAATTGTTAAGTGAAAACCATTTTAAAAATACAGGATAATTTGCTTTGAAGTTTCCAATGGCAGCTCTGGAAGAGTTAACTTCATAATTTGTTCTTCATGCTGCATGTGAAGGCATTTTAAAGCCCAGCGTGACAAAAGGGGTCTGGTCACCTCTTTGTCAAACTTGGCATGTTTAACCATCCATGAAACCATTTTGCAGGAGACAATACGGTAATACGTAACATATAAGAACAAAACTACAGAATAAGAGTGTCCCAAATTTTCATCACTGAGGGTTCTTGTTTATATTTGTATTGCTTTCTCTTCTGGGCTTCTTTAGTGCATTTTAGCTTCCTTTTCTTTGTTCCATACGCTTGTGCTAGCTTCCATTGTATCATACACATCGCATTGTGATTATGATGGGAATCACATCCTATTCCTCTTTCAACCTCCCTGCTCCACAGTGAGCTCTCCAACAGTACTTGGCAAACTGAGAGCAAGCATCCCTATGTATACAGACTGTTTACAACTCATCCTAGATTTCTTTATATAGATAATATTGATTAAACACTTGCTATCTTCAGAACATCGTAGGGTTTTTCAGTTAACAACTCATTTATGTTCACAATCAGCCCTCAGTGTAGGTCATCATCATCTCCGTTCTATGGCTGTTCCTCCCCAGCAGTGACATCCTGAATGCTACCCCACCCCCCACCTCCTGCCTCCCCGAGGCCTGGGAAGCCCCATCGACATTCTCCATGAGAACCAGAGTCAGGAAGATGAATCAGTCCCAGAGGAGCGCCAAACTCCAGGCTCCATCAGCATCTTCATTCTCTTCCTCCAACCCTTCGAGCATTTGCTGGAAAAAGGAACAAACTGATATAGGAATCCCATTCTCTTTCTAAACTTCGGCAGTATATGCACCAATTGCCTTATGTGACTGAGTAATAGCTCTATATACATTACTCCGACCCTGTAGGTATTCTCAAGGGCACAGGGAAAGCAGTTCTCTTTCTGCTGCCAATCCAACTATTGTGCTACAAGGTGAGTGCGCTTGGACGTGGGAAATGTCTTTGTACGTGAGTGATTGTGCCAAGCTGCTTCCTCTGTGCCTCTGAAGAGACGGTGCCTGTTACACCCACTAACACATGGCTGCAGGAGTACAAGTTCACTCCCTGTTTGGTACCTAACAGGCATTTTTGTGGAGAAACAACAGGTTTATCTATCCTAGAACCATAGGTCAAGATCACACAAACACCACAAATCTCCCTTGCCGCTCATAGGACGCTCCTAAGGAAAGAGGATGGGACGGTACTCCGCTAAAGCAGGCTGGACCACAATAAAGGCAACGGCGCGCTATTTACCACATGCTGGGATGTCACACAGGTCGGACTTAAAGTTTTCATCCAAGGTGAAGCACCAGGGAGCTTCCTTCTGGTTCCCGGGATTGCGGCAGTAGGAATGTCCTCCGTTCAGCTCTGGGAAGCGGAGGGCGGTGAAGGTGTGGGTGTGGGGGTACTGGGAGTTCCACGGCTGGCACTGGCGCCCGGACTTGGTGATGCTGACGGTCCCCCGGTAGTCCACGCCCGTGCTGTTATAGCACTTGTGATCTGAAAAACACGAAGGGAACGCTCACCCTGTGAGGGAGAAACAGGAGGTGCGGAGCTCCCGCCAGCAGTTTCTGCTTTAACCTCAAGGTCAAGGCTCCCCCCTCCCCCCACTGGTCAGGGGCCCTGTGGGTGGCTTCCCTGCATGCTGGGCTGGGACACCACCAGCTGGCCTTGCAGCTACATTCCTGGGAGGATTTAAAGCTTATGCCTCAGGAATAAAACCAGTACTCCACAAGTAGTGTTAATATTGAACATGGAAAAAAATCAGAACTGGGGCACAGGAGTAATTTCCTAGGGAATGGTTCGGGGAAGGTTCAAGTTCAGCTGCTCTTTCTGCATCTGCTTGAGGGCCTTAGATAGGAACCATGCGATCAAGAAGCTAATTCACAGAGAATGCTTATTAGTGGTAGTGCAGGATGCGTTTCTCACAGGAGCTAAGCCCTCTCTGTGCTGAGGGACTGGACACCCTTGAGGAGCGGGTCCGAATAAGTACTCCTCCCATGAGACCATGGGGGCTGTTACTTGAAATCCCTGATGATAAAAATCTACCGAGTTGTGATAGTAACAATAGTAATACTGATGATATTGTTCCTATTGCGTGCTAAGTATCGTTCTAAGCATTTTAGATACATTAAGTTATTTAACTACTAAAGTAGTATTCACTACCAAAAGGGAATGAAAAAAAAAATTATCAATGAGTGCAATTCTAGATGAATGGGAAATGTAGAGAGGAGCAGTCTTTAGCTTGATGGTGGTAAGAGGATAGAGAGAGGATGGAGGCATGCCCCATATACATATCTTTAAAATTATGGTACACTACACATACCATAAAATTTACCATGATTGCAGTTAGAACATTCAAAATAGTGTGCAACCTCCACACTATCTCTTTCTGGGACCTTAAATCATCCCAAAAGGAAACCTTATACACATTGAGCCATCATTTCCCACCACCCTGGACCCCCTTCCCCAACCCCTGGCAACCACTAATCTGTTTTCTTGTCTCTATGGACTCGTCTATTCTGGATATTTCACATAAATGGAATCATACAGTGATGTCTGGCTTCTTTCACTATCATAAAGTTTCCAAGGTTCAGTCATGTTGTAATAAGATTTTATTCCTTTTTATGGTAGAATAATAATTCATCTTATTCCTTTTTATGGATGAATAATATTTATTCCTTTTCATGGATGAGTGACACTTATTGGCTTTTATGGATGAGTAATATTTCATTATGTGGATATACCACAATTTGTCTATCCACTTATGAACATTTAGGTTGCTTCCACTTTTTAGCTATTATGAGTAGAGATGTTATAGAGACTTGCATACAAGTTTTTGTTTGAACACCTATTTTCAATTCTTTTGGGTATATACCCAAGAATGTCATTGCTGGGTCATATGGTAATCCTATTTTTAAGTCATTGAGGAACCAGCAACCATATTTTAAAATTATTATCTTCATGAAGCTACTTGAAGGTAGACTGCATATGTTGTATATTTAGCCCATTGGAAGGTAATCATTAGTAGAAAGCATAACTGCGGATGGAATTCTAGTTTTTACTGTGCCATGGGGTGGCTGGCCCCCAAGGCAGTACAGAGGGCCAGGGGCTACCATCTATTTTTTATTTTAATTGATCTTAAAGAGAGGAAAGAGGATGGAGAGAAAGAGAGAGAGATTAGTTACCTCCTATTCAACCAGGGACTAAACCTGCAACCTGCGTATGTGCCCTGACCAGGAATTGAACCCACCACCTTTGGTGTATGGAACTATGCTTCCACCAACTGAGCAACACCAGCCAGGGCTACCACCTACATTTGTTTATCTATCTATCTATCTATCTATCTATCTATCTATCTATCTCTATCTATCTATCTATCTATCTATCTATCTATCTATCTATCTATCTATCTTTGTTAATCCTTACCCAAGAATATTTTTTCCCCATTGCCTTTTTTTTTTTTTTTTTTTTTAAGAGAGAGAGTTGAAAGAAGGGAGGGAGGGGGAGAGAGACAGAGGAGAAAGAGAAACATTGATGTGTTTACATCAACTGGTTGCCTCCCTCATGTACCCCCAACAGGGCCAGGGATTGAACCTACTTTTATTGATAGGATCCGCCATGGGAATTCCAATCCGGATGCAGTTGGCAGCTTCAGGGCTCTCTGGCTGGGGGAGATCTTCACAGTTTGGCAGCTTCAGCCTCATCAGAATCATGGGATTCGATCTTGCAAAAATGTACTCTGTTTGACACAGGACGTTTTCCAGGATTTCACATTCATCGCGGCACAAGTCACGGGGCTTGGGGATGGAAGACGTCTCGTCACAGTAAGGGAAGGCGTAGTGGCACAGGGAAGGAATGGCAAACTGGGAACACTTATCAGATAAGTGGCTGGAGGTGCCAATCATGGTGAAGGCAGCTGGAAAACAAACACAGTTATTAACTCCCAGGGCTGGGGTTGATCTGTGGTTATCTAGCCAACAAATATCAGATATACACACACCCTGGAAGGAATCGGTTGGGCTCAGACAGGCAAGGCCAAGAGAAGGAGATTCATGTCAGATGTCTAAGCAGCTTACTTTCACTGGCTTGAAAAAAAAATTTTTTGACTACAAAGTTAAAAAAACACACACAGGATTAAGTTACATATGTACCGTTTCCTAATAAAAAAAGAATTAATTAGGTTAAAGGACAATATATTTTTCATTTTTACTACAAAGCAACAGAACATTGTGTTTCCTCCAGTACTTTTTATTGGTTCGGTGAGGTTTCTGAAACATTTGACATCTGCCGGGTAGGCTGCATGGGATGGGGCGGCTGGGCCCGAGTACAGGACTTGTGCTGTGTTTTGCCTCTCAGCTGGTGGGTGACTTTGGGTAACGTGTTTAATTTCTTTGTGGCTTGAATACTTTCTACGCCATCTTCCGAAAAGGAGGCAGCTCGCTTAGAAGTTCTCAGAGAGCACAACTCAGTTATTCCAGTGAGTATTAAGGAATGTTAATGGTCACTTAGCCTAACCTCAGATCCAGCACGGTTTCCAAGTACAAAGCAAGCGCCAGCCTCCCTCGGCATTCCTCCATTGACAAGGGCTTACTCACAAGGCAACCTAAGAGGTTATTGGTACATTGATTCCCAAAGAATGTTCCTCCGAACAATAATTATGTAGAACGTTAATAGTGTTGGATAAACTAGGGTTCCATAGCCAAAGAAGTTTGGGAAATGCAGGGTTAAACAAAGTTCAGTGGATTTTTTTTTTTTTTTTTTTACTGTAATACTTTCCAGTAAGCTGATGCCCACTGAAAATGTTTCAGAAGATTTTTATACACCGGTGACCAAATATTTATAATAGAACTCCCAATTATTTTCGTGAGCACTTAGTAAAAAAGTATGTTCAACCTTCTCATACTAGGTTGAAATGTGCCTTCAGCAGCTCCTCCCCATCAGCCCTACACCCCAGAATCCTTCCCCTTGAAAGCCTGAGGGCTTCAGCAAGTGGCAACTACATCTTCCTATTGTTGCTTCTCCAGGTCAAGCAGCTCCTGTAGCCATCTCTTTGTTCCTTCAAATTCCTCACAGGACACAGTTTCTGGACTTTTTGGGGTTCGCTGTGCCTACTTTGGGTTTGTTCTTACTTCTCTTAAATCCCAGGATTTCCAGATCAAGTACAAAGGACCCAGTTACATTTGAATTACTATGTATATAGTAAAGAGGTGATATGCAAATTTATTGTTACATCTTCGCACAAGATGGCCGTCCCCATATGGTCACAAGATGACTGGTAGGGGAGGACAGTTGGGAGTGATCAGGACAGCAGGGGAAGGCAGTTGTGGGTGACTGGGCCTGCAGGGGATGGATGGCAGTTGGGGGCAACCAGGCCAGCATGGGAGGGCAGTTGGGGGCAATTGGGCCAGCAGGAGAGCAGATAGGTGTCAATCAGGCTGTCAGGGTAGTGGTTAGGGGTGATCAGGCAGGCAGGCAGGAAAGGTGTTGCAAGCCAGCAGTCTCAATTGTGAAAGGTATGCCTGACTGTCGGTTTAGGCCTGAATTTCATGCACTGGGCCTCTAGTTTCAGATAACCACTTGGGACCTCCTTCTTCTAAAAAATGACCTGTTGTTCATCTAAAATGCAAATGTCACTGGATGTCCTATATTTTTACTTACTAAGCCTGGAAACCTTAGTAGAATCTAATAAAGGCAATTTGAATGGCTTGCAGGAGTACATAGCACAGAGGTGTAATAACTACACCAATAGGTACAAAGTGGCTCTAAGCACTAGAACTAGGTGTGCATACTCATAGAAGATAATCTACACTACCTAACTCATGTGTGCTAAAAAGTGTTTCACTATTAGATCTCCATTAAGATACTCTCAATTCAGAAAAAATGAAGGGTAAACTCTAGAGAGCTGGAGCAGGAAGAGTTCCATGATCATCTTGCCTCATCATTCATGTCACAGATAAAGAAAGGGATTTTCACTGAGAATAAAAGATTTCCCTAAAATCTTTTAGGGAAATCACAGTAATGGAGATCTAGGGATTAGAGTCCAGAATTCTAGACTCTACACTCAGTCCCCTTCCAGTCCACATGATGTGGCTTTCAAACAGTAAGCTCTGTGAAGGCATAAACAACTGGCCTTATTCCCCACACCATCACATACCCCAGGGCCCAGGTACATCGAAGACATTCAGCAATATTTACTGAGTGTTTAAATGAACGTGAGGCTTTTCAAAGCTTCCTTTTCCTCTATGAGCAACCTTCAATAAATTATTTTAATGTCAATCTTAATAATATTTTAATGATCATATCTCATGTTTCTTTATGGTCCTGCTCCTAACCCCCATGCCTGGCCTAATCCCTGGACAATAGAGGACCTTAAGAAAACTATTGGTGAGAAGAATAGTCAAGGTATAAACAGAATTTCAGTGGTGTTACCTACCTGTGATCTGATTTTCTATTTCCCCTTGCATGTGCAAGGACTCCATATAGACAGTGCGGTTGCCAATAAATCTTGCGCATGCAATCCCTCTGTATGGTTGACAGAATCCATCTTCTTCATATTCATCTCTAAAAACAGAGTATAGACATTACTTGATGCAGTATATATGGTCACACGTAGACATAGTTGGATCTGATTGTGCAATGCCCTAAATAGTCACTAGGGGCCGCAGTTGAGCATAGTATCCTAAAGACAGCTAAGGAATCGGACTTTTCCTCAGTTCCATCCATCGCTTAAAACATCTGTTGGTCACATTGGTCAAGTTTCCTTCATCCCCAGAAAACCATCCCGAAGCACAACATCATCCTTAAATATGGGAGAAAACACTTTTATTTTCGCAGCTGGTGGTGGGCTGGAAGATGAGGTAGTTATAAGAGTAAAGAGGAAATGAGAATTGAAAATCTGGGCACATGTTCTACAGTTTTTGTTTTTTTAAAACACAGATTATTTCTGCTTCATTTGATACAAAGGTGTGGGCGAATTCTGCACAAGATCCACTCTAACTGATATGTCAATTAGGTGGCCCCCTGGGGTGAGAGGCTGGGTGCAGCTGGGAAGAAACCAGAGGGCAGTGCAGTTATGAGGCTTCTTGATGCTTAAGACTCATTATCTTTATGCTGCAGAGAGAGGATGGGCAAATTGTGGATTGGAGAATTTCAAATGAGTCACTCAACCCCAGGTAATCTACAGAAGATGTCAATGGAAACCTTGTTTTCACTATCCCTTAAAACCTTAAAATATAACCTTTAAAAAATGTTTGTGGCCTCACAATTGCAATAACAACTTTTGTTTTAAAAAAGTGGGAGGGGTGTTTTATCCTGAAGACAAGGAGACACTAGAAAGGGAGACAATTATTGACGGTGTGGCAAATGGCTGGAGATAAAAAAGCTAGAGATCAGGACCAAAGATGGCAGGTTCAGCATCAAAGGACAGAGACCATAAACTCCTCCAAGGGCCTATGGTAAACAAGACACCGGAGTACAGAGTGCCCAGCTGTGCTTCAGAGGCAGGCCACAGCCAGAGGCCACCTTCCATGCTGACGGGCCAAGTTTCACCTAGGGTGTTCCTCTTCTCTGTTAACCCGGCTATGATCAATACATCCTCTGAACAAAATAGCATTTTCCCCCTTTGGTTTCTTTTAAAAATATATTTTATTGATTTTTTTTTTTTTACAGAAAGGAAGGGAGAGGGATAGAGAGCTAGAAACATCGATAAGAGAGAAACATTGACCAGCTGCCTTCTGCACACCCCCTACTGGGGATGTTCCTGCAACCAATGGACATGCCCTTGACTGGAATTTAACCTGGGATCTTTCAGTCCACAGGCCGACGCTGTATTCACTGAGCCAAACTGGTTTCGGCCCCCTTTGGTTTCTTTTAAGTTAAAGTACTTTAAACAGGAAAAACAAAATCCCCTTCCTGGGTTTAACATTCTCCTATCCTTAGGCAATCTCTGAACCTCTGAGCCACATCTATAGATGATAACAGTTGGCCTCTCTACTCTATTGGCCATAACTCACGAGGAGCCTACCAAGCAGTGTAAATGCTTTTAAAAGTGCTACACAGAGGTAATGTGATTATTATTAAACTAGAGGCCTGGTGCACGACACTAGTGCACTGGAATGGGGGAGGGTTCCTCAGCCCGGCCTGCACCCAGCTCTCAGTCTGGGACCCTCGGGGAATGTTTGCCTGCTGCAGAGTCAGGAGAGGCTCCTGCCACTGCCGCTGCACTCACCAGCCATGAGCCCAGCTTCTGGCTGAGCAGTGCTTCCCATGTGGGAGCGCACTGGCCACCAGAGGGCAGCTCCTGTGTTGAGTGTCTGTCCCCTGGTGGTCAGTGCCCATCATAGCGACTGGTCATTCTGCTGTTTGGTCGATTTGCATATTAGGGTTTTATTATATAGGATTACTACAATGACCAAACAGGATGCTTATTTTTTAAGGACAATTATTTACTAAGCTCCTGCTTTGTAACAAGGACTATAGTCAGTGCTAGGGCCCCCTGGGGTGGGGATTGGGTGTGGAAATATAGAGAGCCTAGTATAATAGAAAAAAACAAACAAAACAAACTGATAGGGCTGATCTTTAAGACACTAGTTCTCAGCTGCTTTCTTCTCCCTAGTCACTAAAACAATCCTTTTGAAGGCGGAGATGGGGGAAGTATCTTCAGTTTACACTTGAAAATAGTCTCTTGCAAAACTCTTAAAACATAACCTTTAAATACGATTATAGATGAATATATCATATCCTTGACATAAAGACATTGAAATTTTAATGTTGCAAAATCCTGCAAGCACTCTCCATGTTTACTTTCATAAATCCTAGAGCAACGTTGAGGTCTTCTTGGCTCACATTTAACTTGGGTTGTAAAATTAATCCCACTTTTATTGGGTAACTAATACCATAAACCCATAGGGAGAAAGAAGGTTCTGGATGACCTAGCCTTGCATCTTGGAAGCCGAAGTCCTGAGACACCCACTCCCTCCACCCCCAGCTATTATAGATGTTGCCTTTCTATCCCCAGGCATTAGTGGAGACCCGGACTTTTAAGGTGTCATTATGAGAACACCTCTTCCTCCCCCACACTAAATTCTCGAGGCATCAATTTATATCTCTTAGGAGTACAAAACCCTAGAATCACCCCCCGTTATAAATCCCCGACCGACTGGGAGTTCCCATATTTTATGTGTGAGGCTTAGGCTAAACTTCTTACCACCTTTCCAGTTCAAGACTCTAAAAGACTCTTTGAATACTCCCCACTCCCCCCCCCCCCGCCCCGCAGAATAAAATGGAACGCAGCTCCTTGGCCGAACATTTCTTGTCAATGAGAGGCTTAGAGCTGCAGGTGGATTGAATTATTGACTATGTCCAGAATTCCTGACATTCTGGCCAGTCTCTCGGGGGCAGATCTAAAAAACTCACACGAAACGAACAAACACAAACAACAAATGGCATCTGCTGGGGAGCAGAGCTCAGCCCTGGCTGCTTATCCGACTCTCCTCAGGCAGCTTTGAAAATACCAAGGCCAAGCCCCACCTCGGACCTATTAAACCCCTCTCTCTGGGGACACAGCTCAGGCATTCATGCTTTTATAAAAGCTCTGGGGTGATTTGAATGTGGTTGAGAACCACAGCACTAGAAAAACAAACAGGTATTAAGTGCCTGCCACTCTCCCTACTGGGTACTGTGCTAAGTGCTTTCTTCAAAGCTGCCCCTTAGGCAGTGTTATCCTCTGTATTTTACAGAGTGAGACCCTCAGATTCAGAGAAGTTAAGTAAGTGGCTCAAATTCAAAGCCAGTAAGTGGTGGACACAGGATTTAAACTTGAAATTGAAGCTCAAGTCATTACACTGAGTTCTTAGATCTGTAATAGTGTTCTCTGCTTTTCCATATCCTCTTCTAACTCAATCAGCCTAATTTATAAATAAGGGACTTTATAAGGTGCCTTTATTGTGTACCAGGCACTAAGTTTCACTTAAATATAAAACTGACATTAAGCCTGGCTGGGTTGGCTCAGTGGATGAGTGTTGACCAACCTCTGAACCAGGAGGGCATGGTTCAATTCCTGGTCAGGACACATGCCCAGGTTGTGGGCTCGATTCTCCGTGTGGGATGTGCAGGAGGCAGCTGATTGACGATTCTGTCCTATTAACTGATTCTCTCTCTCTCTCTCTCTCTCTCTTCCTCTCCATTCTTTTCTGAAATCTATAAAAATACATTTTTTAATATATTTTACTGATTTTTTTTTACAGAGCGGAAGGGAGAGAGATAGAGAGCTAGAAATGTCAATGAGAGAGAAACATCGACCAGCTGCCTCTTGCACACCCCCTACTGAGGATGTGCCCACAACCAACGCACATGCCCTTGACTGGAATCGAACCTGGGACCTTTCAGTCCACAGACCGACGCTCTACCACTGAGCCAAACCAGTTTCAGCTAAAAATACATTTTTTAAAATCTAATTAAAAAAAACCACAGAACTGACATTAACTCATCTAATCCTGACAATAATCCTATAAAGAAGGTGAAGGTATAATTATTCCCATTTTACAAATGAGAAAACTGAGGGCAGGTAAGAGTAAAGAACTTGTCCAAAGCTCCATAGCTAGATTTGCCTCAAACTAGTGCCTGCCACCCTGGTACACAGCTTCCTGCCAAATGGCCTAGTCATGGGAATGTTGGCACTGCGTGCGGGGGCTTTGTGCTGGGAAGATGCCGGGTAGCAACAAAGGTTTTCTTTTCAACGTGAAGTCACAAGTGCCTTTCATCCTTTCCCTGTTTCCTGTTGGCCCGGGCTGGAGAGAAACCAGTGTTCCTCTAGCATTCATCAACACCACGCTTTTCTCCAGTGAACACGTCTCTCATCATGAATGCCCTCCTTGCCCAGCAAACTAAAAACATGACGCTGGAAGTCCAGGAGCGTGCCATGGTGGCACTCTGCGGAGGAGAAAAGTGTGGCATGAAAGGGCAGGTCAGCCGTTCATCACAGTGGCTGCACCCCCTGGCACGGGCTACATGGTGATGTGGAGACGCAGGGCTGCTTTGTGATGGGAACTCATGTTTCTCATAAAGGTCATTCCGTGACCACACTGCCAGCCTCTTGGACCTTCCAAGCTCGCTGTCATGTGACAGGGAAAAGCAAACACTGTCTGCCCAACACCCCCTTTCTCCAGGGGAAAGAGCTGCCTTATAAGGGATTGTCAAATGGGGCTGAGAGTGATCGCAACCACTGTAGCAGCAGAAGGATCTGCCCAGGAAGCACCTTGGACCAAGGAAAGGGACACTCGGCCACTGCAAGTCACAGACCAAAGGAGTTTGACAGTGACAGTGGAAGTCCATAGCTACAAATCCTTGGCAAACTTCTCAGGCAGTGAGCAAAGAAGGGAATTCTCTGAAAATGAAGAGCACATTATACAATAGGAGGCCAGATGTTAGCATTAGGGAGGATGGGATGGACCTTTCTTCATACCAGACATGCTCACAACTTTCTTCCTCATCAGATTTTACACTGGAGCAGGGCAGAGCTAGTAGACTAAACCAGCTGAACTGATTTCGCTAATGAGTTAAGC